AATAACATAACATGAGTTATCTCATTAATTTCATATTAATATAAACTTTTAATTATATTTATTATTATTTAAAAAAATATTATAAGGGAGAGTAAAAAACCTATTTGCTTTTTAATATTTTAAATAATATAACTTATATTATATCATTAATTTTATATTTTAATATAAACTTTTAATTATATTTATTATTATTTTAAAAAATATTATAAGGGAGAGTAAAAAAACTATTTGCCTTTATATTTTTCAATTACTCCTTCCTTGGTTAGTCCTCCACCTTATGTATTATAAGAGTATCAGCTTCTCAACTTATTATATGAAAGTTTTAATCCCTCACCTTACTAATTATAAAAGTATTAATCCCTTAACTTGCAACATAAAAGTTTTAACCCCTTATCTTTTCAATTTAAATGAAAAAAAAAAGTCCAAAATAGATGGCAGTGTCATGTACTTGTTAAATTTCGTCACTTGTTGCGATATTAGCACCAACATGGCAATTTCTTGCTATCATGAAATGCCATAGTGGATAAATAAAGTTAGAGCTAACAAACAGGTCAAATCCGATGAGTTTGGATTGAGTTATCTAAAATTTTAAGTTTAGTCATTTCAGATTTTAAGTTAAAAGAGTAGACCATGACTTACCCACATAGATCTTGAATTAGATCAAGTGAATCTAACTTTTTAAAATATTGAAATTAAAATTAAAATTTTTTAATATTTTTTTTATTTTTCTTTAAAAAATTTTAATTTTGATTAATTATTTAGTAACAAATCTTTTAAATTAATGTTAACATTAATAATTTAATAAATAATAATTATTTTATAGTATTTAATTTTATTTTATATTTCAAAATTAAAATTAAAAGTATAATTAATTAAAATTTTAAATTTAAAAAAATTAATTAACTTTAGTCAGATCACTTTGAATTGACTTAACTCAACTCTAACCTAAGTCAAATTTGGGTCATTTTAGTTTGGGTTATATTTGATTCTAAATTGATATTTTAAAGACTTAAATCTATGATTTTACTCATAG